CCCTCCTTTTTCATATATTTTTATTGAGATGTCAATGACTTTATTGTAAAGTATTCAGAGTTATTATAGTAAAGTATGCATGTATTATGTAGGTTCCGTATAAACTTCCATATTAAGAAGGAACATTGGGATTGTAGTTGGAATGTAGAGGAGTCAAGAGTATATACAATTATGGTATTTATCTTCTCTCTCTCAGTTTGATATTTGAGCCATGATAATAAAAAAGAGCCAATCAGATCCTTGAATACAAGTTTATCTCTTTCAAATAACCGATGATGTTTTTTGATGGAATTGTATTCAAGAGTTCTTTGAGTGAGTTTACATTATAAAATCTGTTACGGGTCTTTGAAAAATCATGACATTCCAGAAGAAAATGCTTGACAAATTTGCATTACAACCTACACAGAAAGGGGCATTGTCATTCGTGAGGAGATAAGAATGGGTAAATTTAGTGTGTCCAATTCGGCATCGAAGAAGAACTGTTTGATCATGGCGGTTTGACAAAGACAGAGATGGTGACACATCAAAAGATGGGTTTATATTATGAAGTTTATTAAAGACAGCATTTTCCCAATTTGCTTTCCATTCAGATGAAACGAGTTTATTTATAGCCGTTCTAAAATCACAAGCAGGTAACAAAAAGTCAGTTTTTTTAAATTTTTTGCTACATTGTACATGTACTTATAACAAAAAAGGGCGTAGCACTTCACTGGCTATTAGGCAACAAAAAGGTGGCTTCATTGCCAAGTGGTTATGGCCACTGATCAGCAGATAAAAACCTCTGGGCCTTCATCCATTGGATTCTTTCATATTAGGAAGCTGTCGAGCTAGCTTATGAAATCAGGGTTTTTATTTTTATCTGGGGCAACAGATGTGCCAACAAAAACAACCGATTTGGCCAAAGGTGGATATTTTAATCTACTTTCTGAAAATACATCCGATTTTAACAGCATTTCTACTGATAATGTGAGCCGCAAAATTAAAACGGATGTGTGATAAAATAATAATGATAAAAGTTAGTTTATGAATGAAGAAATGACATTTCCAGAACACCTAAAGAAGAATGCAGGAATTGGATATTGGTTAATTATGAAGAGGGGGGTGGATGTTTATTGAAAGAAGTTGTATATCAACATTACAGGTATGATGTCGTTACAGTTACAGCTATAGGCAGGAATAATTTGTATGGTCATTAAATTTTCCGGCATGAAATTATTTGCTACATTTTACATGTACTTATAACAAAAAAAAAAAGGCGTGGCACTTCACTGGCAATTAGGCAACAAAAAAGGTGGGGTCCTCCTGGGCTCCTTGCCGCTGGCGCTTGTTGCTGGGTCGGGTGGGGGGCTGCGTTCATTGAAGGCCGCCTTTCCTTGTCGATCTTGTTTATCATATTTCATTGCCAAGTGGTTATTGCCACTGATCAGCAGATAAAAACCTCTGGGCCTTCATCCATTGGATTCTTTCATATTAGAAAGCTGTCGAGCTAGCTTATGAAATCAGGGTTTTTATTTTTATCTGGGGCAACAGATGTGCCAACAAAAACAACCGATTTGGTCAAAGGTGGATATTTTAATCTACTTTCTGAAAATACATCCGATTTTAACAGCATTTATACTGATGATGTGGATCGCCAATCTGTTAATATAAATACCATTTTTATGGAGCCGCAAAATTAAACGGATGTGTTAAAATAATAATGATAAAAGTTAGTTTATTAATGAAGAATGCAGGAATTGGATATTGGCTAATTATGAAGAGGTCTGTACACAAGTGATAATGAATAAGTGCAACATCACCTACGCCCCCTAGCACCGGCTTGAGCGGTACTCAATTCTCAACACATTATAGTGTTGGCATCAATGATCCCAAAGGACCAGAAAATATAACAACACTGAAGTGAAGTACGGGGCAACTTTTAACGGCTGCCACACGGCACTTGACACTGGCTGTTGTGAAGTACAAAATTCTGGAAACAAAGTGATCCCTCGGAAGCATTAATACATTAAATCATTTTTAAGAGACCGCCTCCGTGGTCGAGGGGTTAGAGTCGATGACTTCTAATCCAGTTACCTCTCTGGCGTGGGTTCGATCCCTGGGAGATGCTTTGGTAGTTTAGCGCGGAGGAAGGTAGTCTAGTACTGGCGTAACTCTCCAGGAACGATGGTTAGGTAACTACCCGCCTTTATGACTGAAATACTGTTGAAAAAGGCGTAAAATGAAACAAACAAACAAACATTTTTAAGAGACTTTTTTTAAATGATAATTCAAATTTTTGTCATGAAATGTCATGTTTAATTTCTAGGTTGTTGGGGGAGGGAGTGGGGTTTTGGGAAATTATGAGATTACATTATTGTTGTTGATTTGTAACAGTTTATAGGGAGAAACAATTTATGTTTTGCCTTTTTTAAAGACAAAAAATCACTGTTTAAAGTCACATTATGCTCATATTTTCATATTCAAGTTGATCTAAACTGACTATATTTTTCAAGATATTGACTGTTAAAATGGTTTGTTTGTTTGGATTTTAACGGCACGTCAACACATAACTGGCCATATCGTGCCGAATGCTATAATAGGCTTAACATATTATGTAAAACATTGTAAATGACAATAGAAATGAGCCAATTAGATCCTAGAATACAAGTTAATCTCTTTTAAATAATCAATTATTGTGTCGCCTTGAAAAGGTGACATATAGGGGTTACTTTTGTCGGCGGTGTCGGCGGCGGCGGCGTCTGTGTCGGCGTCGTTGTCGGCGTCCGGTAAAGCTTGTCCGGAGCATAACTCCGTGCCTGTGCATATAATAAAAGCTTATTGCTAAGGTTGCAGACATGTCATTGACATATACTAGACATAAAAGAGGACCTAAAATGAACATCAGGGGGACACCATAGGTACTCAGAGCAGGAGTAGAAGGAGTACCAGCCACATCAACCAGCTGCTATCAGAGATAAGACTTGAAGCATGTAAGAATGTCATTACATATGGCAGATACTTCCATGAAGAAGAAGTAAAATAACTTCTTCATGTGCAGTATAGTGTGATCAACTGTATCAAATGCTTTTTGTAGATCTAAAAGTATCATGCAATACTGCCTTTGTCCATTTCAAATAAAATACAATCTATTAAATGAGAAAAACCACTTCTAAACCCTGACTTAAACTGCCTGACCATGACTCGAACCCATGACTTTCAGAAGACCAACTGAGCTATCCGGCCGGCTACACATTTTCTCTTTAATAATGAAATAGTTCTAAACCACAACATATTTCCCCACTCTATTGGTTTATGTCCTTGAATTTCTGATGTTTACAGAGCATAGTGAATTAAACTCATGGTTATATGCAGTCACTGGATGAGAAATCTTTCAGCTTGACCAGAACTCAAACCTGTGACCCACAGAATATGTACCGCGGCTGTAAGCGATTGAACTATCTGGTCGCTTACACATTTTCTGGCCTAAATAGGGAACAGTTCTAAACCGTGACAGATATTTAGATTTTAAAATTAACAGATAATTAATTCTTAATTAATAAATAAGAAATAAAAACCTTACATACTCATAGTCTAAATTAAAATAACAATTTATATATTATGTATAATTATTTTTACTAAAAGGGCTTAGACAGTAAACTTTTGGTTGTGCCATTATTTATAACAGGTCAATTTGAAAGTGAACATAACTGTGCTAATACATGTATCAGTCATTATTGTTGGGGTAATTATAAACCGAAAGAGATCACAAGAGTTTAAAATTTGTTTTTGGAAAAACATTTTGTTTGTGAAGGTTAAGAAAGTAATTATGAGTGCGAGAAGACAAACACAACTATTTATAACGGATAATTACGATTTCATAAATGTTATAAAAGATATCATGTCACTGCAAAATATTGAATCGAAAAAGTACTGTTAGCACTTTCACACAGCTTAAATTTGTATGTTTATTTCAATGATATAGCGTGTTTTTAAATTATCAGAACACCCTTTCATAATACTTTTATCTAAACTGCTTGTTTATTTGGAAAAGTCAATTGTGAATATGTTAGAATTAGACAACAATGCTAATTTGTCATAATAATTTGTATACATCCGTATTTATTTCAGCTATATTATGACATACTGATTAGAAAAACATTGTTAGACTATAATAAGATATTTATTGATTATTGAATTTTTGATTCAGTTTGAATTGTAGATGCTGTCAGAGAGCAAAGATGAGTTTTCAGTTTTTTGGATATTGAAACTATAATAATGTTAAATGCACATTGAATTAATAAAAATGTCATCTCATAACTCAGCGTTATGGCCCTTGATTAGTAATGTAGTATGCATATAGAAAAATATTTGTTTCTTCGCTACTTCTCTGCTACTACTTGCTGGAATTCAATGAAACTTTATGAGATACTAAGAGGAGATGTGCATATAGTCGCCTTGTTCCAGTCAGATACTTAATGTGTCAGGTGACTTGATAAAAGCGTTGAAGTGATAACATTATTGCATAATCATGAAACTAATTTGAATTGCCTCTTAAACTGTAATGGTGATAACATTATTGCATAATCATGAAACTAATTTGAAGTACCACTAAGACTGTAAAGAGTACTTTTTATTGAAGATTTTAAAGAAGGTTTTGTCTAGATACACAATAACATTGCATAAACAAGAAAATATTTTGTGTTGTTTACTATGAAATTTTTTGTTTGATTAAAACCATTTTACGTAATAAAGAAAATAGAATTTTGTTTATTGAAATTCAAAATGTTTTGGACATTTTGTATATTATGCAGTTTCACAGTTAAATGATATTCATTATTTAGATGCAAAATATTTAATATGTACAACAAACTGAGATATAAGTGCTACCATAATAGACATATTTATGTGTACAGTTGGAAAAAAAAACGTGGTAGGCCGCGGGCCACTCCGAATGAAGATATAAAAAACTTCACGAATAAGGAAATCAAAAGATTTATTAAAAGCTACAAGAAATATGGTGATCCACTGATGATGAAGAAAAAAATGATGCGCCAAGCAAAAAAAAACGTGGTAGGCCGCGGGCCACTCCGAATGAAGATATAAAAAACATTTTGTCTGTGAAGGTTTAGAAAGTAATTATGAGTGCGAGAAGACAAACACAACTATTTATAACGGATAATTACGACTTCATAAATGTTATAAAAGATATCATGTCACTGCAAAATATTGAATCGAAAAAGTACTGTTAGCACTTTCACGCAGCTTAAATTTGTATGTTTATTTCAATGATATAGCGTGTTTTTAAATTATCAGAACACCCTTTCATAATACTTTTATCTAAACTGCTTGTTTATTTGGAAAAGTCAATTGTGAATATGTTAGAATTAGACAACAATGCTAATTTGTCATAATAATTTGTATACATCCGTATTTATTTCAGCTATATTATGACATACTGATTAGAAAAACATTGTTAGACTATAATAAGATATTTATTGATTATTGAATTTTTGATTCAGTTTGAATTGTAGATGCTGTCAGAGAGCAAAGATGAGTTTTCAGTTTTTTGGATATTGAAACTATAATAATGTTAAATGCACATTGAATTAATAAAAATGTCATCTCATAACTCAGTGTTATGGCCCTTGATTAGTAATGTAGTATGCATATAGAGTAAAAATCGTTTCCGCACTACTTCTCTGCAACTACTGGCTGGAATTTAACGAAACTTTATTTTCAAGACCCAAAAAACGGGGAAGGCCGCGGGCCACGGAAGATTTTAAAAACTTTACCAATGCTGAAATTAAACGTTTTATTATGGTTACAATGTTTATATTACATTTAAAACAACCAATGAAATTGAAAAAGAACAGATAAAACAACCCAAAGCCAAAAACGACACTTAAAAGCTGAGATATATTGATAGTAGCAATAAATGCGACAAAAATTATAGAGGAACTGACAGTGACAATTTTCCTCTTAGCCACTTAATTCAAAAGAGAAAATTGTTTGACATGGATGCCTCTGATAGCAATAGTGGTTTAGATAAAACATACATACCTTCCTCAAAAGCTCATAATTTAACTGATTCCGAATATTCGTCCGATGCACAAGAAACCACAAAGAAAGACCGGAAACAAAAGAAGAAATTCGAACGTGTGGTGGAAAAGCACTTAAAAAACAAACAGCGTACTAAATTTCCTAAGCAACAAGAAGAGATGGTATATAAAAAGAGCTCATCAACATCTGTTGACTTTGAAACGGACAAAGCAAATAGTGCAGCAACAATTTCAACAATAAATGAAAGTATAAAAGAAACACTCACACGCAATGCTAGGTTTAGAACAGAGGAAACTATAATAGACGCGCTACTCACCAAAAAGCTTTTACGAGAGTCAAAGTACAAGGATATGGTAACTGCTCATTTGAAGCTCAATTAAATCATCTGGGTCAAGTAACTCCGCCCAGGAGCTTAGGCAGTCAATATGCTTACATCTGGAGCAAAACTAGTATGCATGTTTTTATGAAACAAACACAGACCTTATGATGGTGAAGCCTTTTGGAATGAGTATCTAAATGAGGTTGAAAATTTAAAACGCGAAAGAGTTGCTGATTTTCTATCACGTGCTTTGGCCAATCTTGAGAGGAAATGTGTGATGATATTTACAAACAAAGGTACAACCAACTCTTTTAGCAAGTGAAACAAATGAAATCATAAACCTGGCATATACATCTATTCTAACAATTATTGAACATTATGATGCATGTATCATCAAGGACATTGCTGACACGCAGAGAACACCTGGGACACTTCTGAGAATTCAGGGGAAGAACAGAATGACGAAACACTGTATGCAAGGCATGTACCACTTACGTATATCTCTACCACACCGCGAAAATCTGCAACTTATAATAGTCCTGTAAAAAGCGTTTAGTAAGGAAACGAAAAGATAACCCAGAAAATTGGAAGCATAGTGTGCCTTAGATTAAAAAGTAAATGTAGTTTAAAGGAATTGAAATGTAAGAATAATGCAATAATACTACTGTAAACGAAATAACTATGACCATCCAGTAACAGTGTATGCTTAATCAGTAAGTTTTATCACCTCTGTAGCAACCTTTCTGATACCATCCTTCACACACATAAAGAAATGTTATGCTTTGTTTGGTCAATATAAAAATTTGGAAACAAAGCGATAACTCCTGTTTAATTTGGTTTAACGCCGCCTTTCCTTGTCGATCTTGTTTATCATAATTAACGGCCTACCAACACAGTACAAGACATAACTCGTGCAATACACCCGGGCTAATGCATTGTACAATGACAGTTTCCCATTATTTTATGCTCAATTTTAATCACATGAAAACTAAAAACTTTATTAGATATATGTATCAGATTCTCAGTTTATGTTCATCGTATAGTTAATATTAATGATAACTACACAATGTTAGAAATTACTGATACCTACATATTGTTATAACTGCATTACTACTTGCTTTATACTGTTATTAAAATATTTAATTTGGTTGGGTTTTACGGCGGACAAACACAGTATAGGTCATATGGTGACTTTCCAGATTTACTGTTGGCGACAGACATAAGATACCTTTTGATACCTTAAGTCAGGCAAATGTTTTACACACAAGTGTATCAGAAAAACAGAAACGTAAACAGCCGATATTAACTATTTATTTGTAAATACGGTTTAAAAAATGAAGTAATCAGATAAAATGCAAAATAGAGAGTAAATGAAACCCTCTTAATTCTTCTTTGTGGAAAATATATAAGCGAATAAGATGATACTCCTTTGGATAATTTATAGATAATATATAAATTATGAACAAGGCAAGTATTGTTTTTAATATTATGCATTTACGGTCATTACGAACTTTCCGGCGCCAAATCTTCAGAATTTTTTATCACTGCCAGTGTACTATTCATTTACAAATTGAGACTGACCCAAGTAGAAAACAAGGATGCTACAGACCAAATTTTAGTTAAATCTGCCCAGCAGTTTCAGAGAAGAAGATGATTGTTGACGCATGACGACGGACGACGGACGCCGGAGTATCCCCCTTTGTTACTAATAGCTCACCCTGAGCCTTCGGCTCTGGTGAGCTGAAAAAAAAGACAATTTAAGTTCTTAATTGCAAATATAGAAACTTAGGAATGTAATGTTCAAAGACATTTTACACGTGAAAAGATTCACTCCGAGAGAGACATAGATCCGACATGAGAACACATTAGTCAAAATATGTCGACCCTTCGTGTTTTCGCATTTTCGCATTTTGAGGCGAAGACGCGAAAATATTTGGATGGCGTTAATCAGCCACCATACATAATCCATTCAAGGCGAATTTCTCAAGCATGTCGAAAGGATGTCCGGAAATGTATTAATATAAAACGCTGATATTTCGTGTGTTGATAAAAATACTGTTTAGATTCTATATGGTTTTGAAAAAAAAACTGTTTCTATGTAACTTTTCACGGAAATGGGCTGTACAATGATTGCGTAAAAACAATAAAATGTCGGCTGTAGTAATCGAAAGGCATTTTGTCACGTGACTTTTGCCCATGCTACCGAAAACTACCCATCACAATATCACGGCGTTGAGACGCCGTGAAATAAAGATATAGTTTGTCGATGACAGATTAACAGAGTTTGGTTTTACGGCGCACAAACACAATAAAGGTCATATGGTACGAATAAAAAGATGATTTGTCTACTCTCGGGTGTTAAAATCGTACCTCCACACAAGGGGGTTCAGACTTCAGTAAATTGACCACATTAAGTCGCCTCTGGCGATAACGCACGTTAAAAAAAAGATGGATGGAATACTTATACCTCAACCTGCTTGCACAGAGCTAAACATCGGTTTGGTGTGTGCGTCCGTCCGTCCTGTTATGCTTGTCCGGGATATAACTTTACTATAATTAAATGTTGAATTCTAGCTAAGCCGGTGCTAGGGGCGTGGACGCTACATTGCACTTTCCAGTACCGTCCATGAACTGGCTGAATCAAACCGAGCCTGCAACAGTATCAATTTTGTTTATTACTATCTATTTTGTCATTAGAAGGCAGAAATTAAAAACAATTGTAACTTAATATGTTCACAATATTTGTGTTTGTTTGCATTTTACGGCACGTCAACACATAAATGGCCCTATCGTGCCGAATGCTAAAATAGGCTTTAACTATAATGTAAAACGTTGTAAATAAAAAAAGCTAATAAGATCTTTGAATAATAATGAGAAGGCGTGTCATTCGAAAGAACCGTGTTGCTAAGTAAAAAATATGATAAACAAGATCAACAAAGAAAGGCGGCGTTCAATGAACGCAACCCCTATATGACTAAGCAACAAGAACCCATGGCAAGGAGCCCAGGCGGACCCCAAACATTAAAAGGACAGGGCAAAGACACGTTAATCATTAAATCATACATAATTTGTAACTGATTAGGAATTCAAAGAAAGTAATAATAGGCCCACAAAGGGGAAGGGGTCAGGAGACCGGGGAAGAGGGGGGGGTGTTAATGAAAGAAACAAAAACTAGAGGCGATTGGAAAGATACTTACCGTAGACGAGAGAAACAACAAGGGACACAAGCAAAGGTGTCACCAAAACAGTATGAAACAACAAAGACATACATCTGAGGAACACAGTGGGGCGCCTTAAAGGTCGTACTTTAAGGTCAATTTCAAAAGATTCTCTAACAGCTTGTCTGCACCAAAATTATTACTAGCTCGAGGAATTTCAAGTACCTGGAATGGTCCACATCATGAGATGGCGTGTCGCTTGCAAGAATCGTGTGGCTAGGTCAAGGTCATACGTAAATGTCAAATGCCAAAAAATAGTCTCATACAGCTTGTCACACAGTATCTCGATAACTGGCAGGTGTAGTCTGATTTTATTAACCTGTCCAATATGAATACATTATAGGACTCATTTAAATATTCGATCCCACTTCGGTTTGGTCCGTGTAGTTTACAAGAATTAATGTGGAGTAGATAAGTCATGGATTTAAAGTCACGCTAGCTTAATGTGAAGGTTTTTGTTAATTCACAATAGCACAGTCGGTAAAGAGAATGTCTGATAATTGAGTGGACTGTGGCTCGTTCCTTACTGTTGCCATTGTTTTAATACTCTTTCTTTATTTTTAAAGTATATTTTAATCGAACAGATTTGTAGCGTATTTTTCTGGTTTTTCGGGATCATTGATACCAGCACTATTAAGTGTTGAGAATTGAGTACCGCTCAAGCCGGTGCTAGGCAGTAATAATTTGTATGGTCATAGCTATAGGCAGGAATAATTTGTATGGTCATTAAATTTTCCGGTTTGTTTGGATTTTACGGCACGTCAACACATAAATGGCCATATCGTGCCGAATGCTTTAATAGGCTTTCACTATTATGTAAAACGTTGTAAATAAAAATAAAAAAAGAGCCAAACAGATCTTTGAATACAATAGATAAATACAGAATCCCTAAAGAAAGCCCAACACGGCAAAATTGAAAATGTTGCAGGCTCGGTTTGATTGAGCCTGTTCATGGACGGTAGACATGGACACAGGAAAGTATAAAAAAAATTAACAAAGGGCAAAAACTCCAAAATTAGGCAAAGCGGAGATATGTTTTTTTGCACTGCACTTCTATTCAATGAGATCTATCTATCTATAAAGTTTCCTGATGATATCAGAGTTAAGACAAGTTTCCTGATGATATCAGAGTTAAGACAAGAACCGGTTGAACCGGGTGATGCTCCCCGAGAAGGTTCTGGACACAGGAAAGTATAAAAAAAATTAACAAAGGGCAAAAACTCCAAAATTAGGCAAAGCGGAGTTATGTTTTTTTGCACTGCACTTCTATTCAATGAGATCTATCTATCTATAAAGTTTCCTGATGATATCAGAGTTATGTCCCGGGTAAAAGTCAAAGTGTAAAAATGAACAAAGGGCAATAACTCCAAAACTAGACCAGACTTTGTTTAGGTTCTTTAAGCATTGCAATTCTATCCAATTATATCTAACTACCTACAAAGTTTCATGTTGATATTTCTAATAGTTTTAAAGTATTGTCCAGGATAAAAGTCAAAAAGTTAAAATAAACAAAGGGCAATTACTTCAAAATAAGGCAAGGCAGAGTAATGATTCTTAAGCACTGCACTAAAATCCACCCAATGAGACCTATCTATCTACAAAGTTTCATGTTGATATCTCTTATAATTTTAGAGTAATGTCCCAGACAAAGTCAAAGTGTCAAAATGAACAAAGAGCAATAACTCCAAAAGTAGGCAAGGCAGAGTTACGGTTCTTATGCACTGCACACCTACTCAATGAGATCTATCTACCTACAAAGTTTCATGTTGATACCTCTTATACTTTAAGAGTTATATGCCGGACAAATTTCAAAGTGTAAAATAAACAAAGGGAGATAATTCAAAAATCAGGCAAGGCAGAGTTACGGTTCTTGTGCACTGCACACCTACTCAATGAGATCTATTTACCAACAAAGTTTCATGTTGATACCTCTTATACTTTTAGAGTTATGTCCCGGACAAAGTTCAAAGTGTAAAATAAACAAAGGGGGATAATTCAAAAATAAGGCAAGGCAGAGTTACGGTTCTTGTGCACTGCACACCTACTCAATGAGATCTATCTACCTACAAAGTTTCATGTTGATACCTCTTATACTTTTAGAGTTATGTCCCGGACAAATTTCAAAGTGTAAAATAAACAAAGGGGGGTAATTCAAAAATTAGGCAAGGCAGAGTTACGGTTCTTGTGCACTGCACACCTACTCAATGAGATCTATCTACCTACAAAGTTTCATGTTGATACCTCTTATACTTTTAGAGTTATGTCCCGGACAAAGTTCAAAGTGTAAAATAAACAAAGGGGGATAATTCAAAAAATAGGCAAAGCAGAGTTATGGTTCTTGTGCACTGCACACCTACTTAATGAGATCTATCTACCTACAAAGTTTCATGTTGATACCTCTTATACTTTTAGAGTTATGTCCCGGACAAAGTTCAAAGTGTAAAAATAAACAAAGGGGAATTATTCAAAAATTAGGCAAGGCAGAGTTACGGTTCTTGTGCACTGCACACCTACTCAATGAGATCTATCTACCTACAAAGTTTCATGTTGATACCTCTTGTTGTTTCAAAGTTATGTCCCGGACAAGAAAAGGGGACGGACGGACGGACGGACAAGGCGGCGACTATATGCTCCCCCGAAATTTTTTCGGGAGCATAAAAATAGATAAATACAGAATCCCTAAAGAAAAATAGATAAATACAGAATCCCTAAAGAAAGCCCAACACGGCAAAATTGAAAATGTTGCAGGCTCGGTTAGATTGAGCCTGTTCATGGACGGTACTGGAAAGTGCAAGTTACCGTCCACGCCCCCTAGCACCGGCTTAAGCAGAATTCAACATTTAAACGTGAAATAGTAAAATTTTGAATTTAGAAACATCCGCAGATGTGTTCATACGGCGGTTAACATGGAACCTTCAATGTGACACTTTCGTGCCATTCCATGGAAAGCGGCGTATGGTCCCCAAGTAATAAAAAGCGTGTGCCCTAAACGAGAAAACAATGGGCGGAACTAAATAAAATGGAATTTTGAAAGGGGATCAGAGGTTATGAAGCCTGCGTATCACAGATAAGACGTCAAAAGACAAATTTAAAAAGCAGGCAACATATCCTAAGGGTGATTCAACATTATTCAAGTAGGAATATTGGAACCACCCAACTAGAAAATGCCGAAAAGTTGAAACTGAAAATACCACAAGCACAACAATAATGTCGTGCTGAACGATCTTCAAGGATCGAAAATATAACATCATTGATTAAATGTACGGGGAGACTTTTTACAGCCGCCACACGGCACAAATAACACGGATGTGATCATAAAATAGATAAATACAGAATCCCTAAAGAAAGCCCAACACGGCAAAATTGAAAATGTTGCAGGCTCGGTTTGATTGAGCCTGTTCATGGACGGTACTGGAAAGTGCAAGTTACCGTCCACGCCCCCTAGCACCGGCTTAAGCAGAATTCAACATTTAGACGTGAAATAGTAAAATTTTGAATTTAGAAACATCCGCAGATAATCTCACAATATCATGATAAAGAAACTTCTGTTAAATTATATTGGATTCCAAAAAATATGATCAGCAAGATCAACAAGGAAAGGCGGTTTCAGCTCTTTTTGACTAATCACAAATATTGTTATATTTGCCATGTTTTAAGCCTATTTGTTACCAAGGCAACCAATATTTTTTTCAAAATAGGAAGAAGAAATAAGACATACATAATCTCAAGACTGCCATCTATCCATAATTGTCAAGTTTCATAAAAATATTTCCAGTACTTTTAGAATTATCACTGGATTCAGTTTCTGTGTAAAATTTGCCATATTTTCAGTCTATGTGATGCCATAGCAACCAGAATTTTCAACATAGGAAGAAAAGAAAAAGACGTGTATAATCTCCAGACTGGCATCTACACATATTACAAAATAGATAAATACAGAATCCCTAAAGAAAGCCCAACACGGCAAAAATGAAAATGTTGCACACAGTGGGGCGCCGCCTTGGAACGGTCAGCAGCATATTGACTGCCGGGGAGTTTAAACCGGTTAAGGCCGCTATTTCATTTATACGTGATCAGTGGTCCGCGTCCGTCATCCGCATCCGTTACCGATTCGCTAATCAAAGAATACGTTGAATCAATTCCTTTTGTCCGTTTACCATCCGCATCCGCGACGTTTCGCAGGCTGAGCGATTTTTTACGGACGCGGACAGTCACTGACATGTCTCATCCCTACAATATGATAAACAAGATCAACAAGGAAAGGCGGCGTTCAATGAACGCAACCCCCATATGACCCAGCAACAAGAACCAGTGGCAAGGAGCCCAGGCGGACCCCAAACAAAAACAGGACAGGGCAAAGACAGACCACGGACGGGTTAATCATTAAATGATAAATAATTTGTAACTGATTAGGAATTAAAAGAAAGGAATAATATGCCCACAAAGGGGATGGGGACAGGAGACCGGGGGAAAATGCCTCGAACGAAATTAAATAATTTATCGATTTTGAAAGAAAATACTAAAGAATATGAAAAACAAGATCAACAAGGAAAGGCGGCGTTCAATGAACGCAACCCCCATATGACCCAGCAACAAGAACCAACGGCAAGGAGCCCAGGCGGACCCCAAACATAAAAAGGACAGGGCAACGACACGTTAATCATTAAATGATAAATAATTTGTAACTGATTAGGAATTCAAAGAAATTAATAATAGGCCCACAAAGGGGAAGGGGACAGAAGACCGGGGGAAGGGGGGGGGGGTTAATCAAAGAAATAAAAACTAAGTTTATGATGTAGCAATGACAGATTAAAAAAAACAATATCTGGTCATCGGTTGCTAAAGAGATGTTATTTGTAAACCTAACTGATATTCAATGTTTGTTACCTAATTCTTTTATGTTACAACTGCTTTTGGTATTAGAATGAATTTAGTACTTTTAGGACATTTAGTACTTTTGTTATGGTCATTGGGTTTACTTTTATATGTTTCTACATGATCATTTTAGTGTTTTACTTATTTAACCTTTTGTAACCATGACAACTGTTAGAATTTCACTTGGCGGGGATTCATTTTATTTACACTGTCTCGTTTATAGGAACATGGTGGGGCTAAGAGCGAGGTTTGGTGCACCATTAACCGGTTTAAACTCCCCAGCAGTCATTATTATGCTGCTGACCGTTCCAAGGCGGCGCCCCACTGTGTTCCTCAGATGTATGTCTTATGTTGTTTCATACTGTTTTGGTGACACTTTTGCTTGTGTCCCTTGTTGTTTTCTCGTCTACGGTAAGTATCTTCCCCATTGCCTTTAGGTTTTATTTCTTTGATTACTCCCCACCCCCTCCCCCGGTCTCCTGTCCCCTTCCCCTTTGTGGGCCTATTTTTATTTTCTTTGAATTCCTAATCAGTTACAAATTAATTATCATTTAATGATTAACCTGTCCGTGCTCTATCTTTGCCCTGTCCTGTTTTTGTTTGGGGTCCCCCTGGGCTCCTTGCCATTGGTTCTTGTTGCTGGGTCATGTGGGGGTTGCGTTCATTGAACGCCACCTTTCCTTGTTGATCTTGTTTATCATATTGTATCATATTCTACAAATAATCATCTTCTGTTCGCTATACTTCGTTGCGTTCATTGAACGCCGCCTTTCCTTGTTGATCTTGTTTATCATATTTTTCAATTAAAAGTATGTAGAAAATAACGTACCTATGGAATAATACCCACGGACATGCCCGGACACGGATCACTGACGCGGACCACTGATCACGTATAAATGGAATAGCGGCCTAATGGTGCACCAAACCTCGCTCTTAGCCCCACCATGTTCCTATAAACGAGACAGTGTAAATAAAATGAATCCACGCAAAGTGTAATTCTAACAGTTGTCATGGTTACAAAAGGTTAAATAAGTAAAATAGACAAATACAGAATCCCTAAAGAAAGCCCAACACGGCAAAATTGCAAATGTTGCAGGCTTAAACACCAAAATGATCATGTAGAAACATATAAAAGTAAGTCCTAAAGGAAGACAGAGCAACAAGAAAATCACCTACAAGGGCCCGACGAAGCAAGGCAGAAGATGAACATTAAGACAATTCAGTCCCAAAGGGCTTTACGAACTATCCATCATAGAGCCACCCACTTGGTCCGTCAGATGTAATCAAAAGAGGAAAGCGTAGTGTCCAACTGTAAAAGGGTTGAACACTAAACATGCAGTATGTCTTAAAATAGTAGGGTCATAACCTCTTTTAATAAAACGTTTAATGATTTTAGTAAAAACAGTAGAAAAATTACCATGACCCATAATCTTACGAAGTTTGAAAATCACATCGCCATAAAAACCAGGCTGGCTAGTCCTTTTTCGCAGAAGAGTTTTTAAATCACTATTGAATTTAGAAATTAAATCAAAGTTACGATTGTAAAATTTAGTAAAATATTTCCGTAATTTGTGATAGCGGTAGCCCTGTTTTAGAAGCTTGCTGGTAATAAAAATATTCCGCTCGTTGAAATCCATTACGTGCACAAGCTCTAGCGAATCTAATTAAGTGAGAAACATAAAATAGATAAATATAGAATCCCTAAAGAAAGCCCAACACGGCAAAATTGAAAATGTTGCAGGCTCGGTTTGATTGAGCCTGATCATGGACGGTACTGGAAAGTGCAAGTTACCGTCCACGCCCCCTAGCACCGGCTTAAGCAGAATATGTGTTCATACGGCGGTTATCATGGAACCTTCAATGTGACACTTCCGTGTCATTTCATGAAAAGCGGCCCCAAGTAATAAAAAGCGTGTGCCCTAAACGATAAAACAATGGGCGGAACTAAATAAAATGGAATTTTGAAAGGGGATCAGAGGTTATGAAGCCTGCGTATCACAGATAAGACGTCAAAAGACAAATTTAAAAAGCAGGCAACATATCCTAAGGGTGATTCAACTTTATTCAAGTAGGAATATTGGAACCACCCAACTAGAAAATGCCGAAAAGTTGAAACTAAAAATTCTGGAAACAAAGTGATCCCTCGGAAGCATTAATCACAACAAAATTACAAGAGAATTGCAGACTCGGTTTGATTGAGTCTGTACATGAAGGATAATGGAAATGTGCAACATCCCTCACGCCCCCTAGCACCGGCTTGAGTGGTACTCGATTCTCAACACTTAATAGTGTTGGCATCAATGATCCCGAAGGACCAGAAAATATAACAACACTGAAGTGAAGTACGGGGCAACTTTTTACAGCTGCCACACAGCACTTAACACCTGCTGTTGTGAAGTATAAAAATTCTGGAA